ACCTGTTTGAGTTGTTTAATGAGCTTACTATTTTTACCATCTGGGAGTTCAGCATAGCGGCGGCTGAACAGACCAATTGAAAAGTTTCATAAGAAACTTGATGGACTTGTCTTCCTTACAGGGGTTGATTACCTACCAGCTGCACCCAGTAGGGACATTATTTAAGCCAAAAGAACAAACACAGAAAGGAAAAGTTTAAATGGTCACAAAAATACACCTAAAAGCCAAACAAACTAAATAATGAAGGGGCTGCTGTGAGTATGATGTGTAGTAATGCTCATGGCCATCTGGTCATGACATAGTTAATAATAATAACATATAACCAAATGTAAATGTTGTGTTAACCCTTTTTCTAAGATTTCTTAGGTTGTTAGCCTAAGACTTTATTCTTAAGCGAATTAGTCAGAAAATGAGATGTCAGGTATGATCCTTCAACCTTATGGGGATTTTTTTATTCATAATGGAAGAATCATGTGCATGTAATCATATATTCACCTCAGCAAACTTTCAACTGCAATAAATAATAAAAAAAATTATCACAGCAAAATCCACAGAGCAATCAAACTTTTATTAAACCTGCATGTAGATCTCAAAAGTTTGTAAATTGGTTAAAATGTCCAGAAAGCATAGACCGATATTTAAATAGAGAATCATTTGATTCAGTAAGTTTTGTTTTTGTGAACATCAATTGTTGTAAAAACATACATAAGCTCACTTTGACACAAATTATAAACACATTTTAGGCTACACACTGATTGTACATTTAAGACGAATTTCGCAAAATCCCATGTAGAACATAGTAATGATTTTTGAAATGTTGCGGACAACCAGATATCTTTGCCACTTTATAAGCGACACTAAGCAAAAAAAAGTATAAGCAATACTTTTGATGATACTTAGTTTTACACTCACAATGTAAGAAAAATATTAAGATTAAGGTCAACACACTAGTACTCCAACAGCATAATGGTCTCTAATAATCTCTTAAATGTATAAAGACCCTTAGCTAAACATTATGAAATAGTACAAGCAGGATCCCAAAAGTCATAGATTACTGTTTGTCAGATATTGTCAAAAAATAAGTAGTAATTTCCATTTCATGAACTGATTCCTCCATCTTCTCTTGCTTTGTATCTTTTAATAAACATGGCTCCATGTTGTTTCTAATTCATATTTTGTGCTATATCTGCTCTTCCATTGCATTGTTTTATGATAGTGTTGAGCTCTACAAAGCTGCACACTGGTGGACCAAAAATTGATTTGATGTAATTGCACTTTGTGTTTCGAGCTTGCTGCCTGGAAACAAGTCAAACAGGAAGAAAGACAACAAAGCAGGCAAGTCAGAGCAAAAGAACAAGCCTCCGAGCTCAGACGATCCATCGTTTCTTCATGTAATTCTCTCTGCGACAACATGAACGGTAAGCTGTGCTGACGTTTCCAAGTTTACCTCTCTTAACGTTAAATTTGTTTTGCGCTGAAATGTTTTTGTTACAGTAAAAAGAGAATTACTTTTGACCCAATTAAATGACGAGCTGTTTGGTTATTCATCTGATTATTTTATTTATTTAATCTCAAACAAATTGTCTTTCTGAAGGTTCTGTAGGTTTATGAGAAAGTCTAACGTGTCATTTGAGCCCCCCTAAGAAAAAATTAGCATAACTCCTTTTACTATTTCTGACTCTGTTAATTTACTCTTCATTGAATTTTGGGAGGGTGTGACTCTGCAAACCTTAACACTTCTACAATATTTAATACAAATGATAAAAGTCATTCAAAACTGTTATGTTGTCATATGTGCTGGAAGAGACCTTTGTCTAAATGTAGAGCTTAGATTCTAGATATAGACAGATAAACTGATAACATTTACAAATGCAGAGAATAATTTCATGTTCACTGAGGTTTTTCAGACAGTTCTCCTATTCAGTTGAATACTAATCCAACTTTCAAAAACTCTTCTGAGATTATGATTACAATTAAATATATATAGATATACAGTGATTGAATGTGCAATATTTAAACTAACATTTTTTAGTTGATTTAGAATGTAATTGATTCATTTGTTGATGTGACTGAAACTCAGTTTTGATTGCAAGGGTCTTACAGTATAAACACCAAGCAGTCTGTAAATTGATCATTTGTTGTTTTCCTCCAGGGTCAGACACATTCAGGATTGTCCTGCTGGGGAAGAGTGGAAACGGCAAGAGCAGCCTGGCTAACACCATTTTTGGAGAAGCAATTTTTCAAGTAAAAAAAATTAACGACACAACCTCTTTTGCTTCCCAAGCTAAAACCAAAAGTGTCAATGGCAAAAGCCTCACTTTGATTGATACGCCTGGTTTGTTCGACTCAGGCAGGATGTCTCAGAAGGAGGCCAAGTCTGCGTGGGAGACGTGTATCATAGAGTGCGCTCCGGGGCCTCATGTCTTTCTGATTCTTCTCAAGGTGGAGAGATACACAGAGCAGGAGAAGGCTGTAGTCACCAAAATATTAGAGAAATTCACAGATGAAGCCCTGAAGTACGCAGCGGTGGTCTTCACCCACGGGGACCAGCTGCCTGAAGGGATGAAAATAGAAGAGTATGTGGACCAGAGTGACAATCTGAGGGAACTGGTGGAGAAGTGTGGCGGTCGCTGCCATGTCTTTGATAACAGGTACTGGAAGAACAACCAGGAAGACAATTACAGAAGCAACAAGTTCCAGGTGGCAGAGCTGCTCAACACCATAGACAAGATGTTGATGGAGAACAGAGGAGGGTTCTACACCAATGCAGAGCTGAATGAGGCGGAGAGAAAAATACAAGAAGAGGCAAAGCTGATCAAGATGTCATCAGAAAACCTGTCAGAGGATGAGATCAGACAATGGGCAATAGTCAAAATCCAAAAGAAGTCTTTGGAGAGAGGAACACAAATACCCATCAAAGTCATCATTGGTGTGGCAATCTCAGGAATAATTGTAGCCATCTCCGCTTGGTTCATCAAATCTAGGTTAGAGCAGACATTACCAGAGATAACACTATCCAGCACCACGATACCAAGTCACGGTGCCGAAGAATTGATGGTTGAAACTTTAGAGGAAGTGGGGAAAGAAATGACAGCTGTGAGCGTACCATCCCCAGCCATCCCCATAGGCCAGGAAGTTGAGCTGGAATCAGCAGACGGAGTGGAAGGTATACTGGAATGGCTTAAGGATTTGTTTGAAAGAACATATGATCCATTTAATCCATTTGAATAAACAGTAAAGGAGACTTGAATGTTAAAACTAGGATTCTTCCTCACCATTGTCGTTTTTGTGCTATGTATTCATGAAACTGGTGTTTTGGGTTCAATTTGTATGTAAATTCAGCAAATTGAATAATTTTACAGTTTGGAGTGTTGTACAGTCTAATCTTCTTTGGAAATGTTTTCACTGTATACTGATTTTAAGGTAAAGCAATCATATTCCCAGATGTATTTTAACATTTTTCAACACTGACATTTATGGTACTTTTCTGTACGATAAACTATCTGTGTTTTTTGTTTAGGCACATCTTTTTTTTTTCTTGTTTTTTGTTGTTATAGCAAAATAAAACAACTTGTTGGCCACATGTCTCTTGTATAAATACTTCTGCATCTAACTTCACGCTCACTTTCGCAAACGTAGCCTAAAAGCCAAGCTGGTGTTACTTGGTGTAAGAGTTTAGTTTTTCATCAGTCAAATATAAAACATAACAATAAAAAAAAGCTTTTAATGAGCATAAAATGTCAGGTCAGTATCAGAATAACTGACCAGCTGACATAGAACTGAGGAAATAGGAGGGAAAGATGTTCCACAGGGAACATGGCAAAAAAGTAAAAACTATAAAAACACACGTCTAAATACTCAAACACCCAAGAATCATGAGAGTAACAATTTTAAACTTGAACATTTTCACTTGCACAGTTCAATAAGAAAATCCAAAAGATTTTTTGAGCTAGAAACCCAACTTGGTTGGGTTTGAAGTTCTTTCCAAAGTAGAACAATTGTCGCTGTTTACAGTTGTCTGATTCAGCTCGTTCCAGAGGTCTTCAACTTTTTTTTTTTTTTAAATGCACACCTCATTTATGTTGTTTCTAACAGAAGATTATGGTGCCTGACCAATATATTATTTTGGCTGTTGAAGATCATTAGTCACTATTTGTTCATCTTTACCCATCTTTTCTTCAGAGGACCACAGCAGAAAGTCCTAGTACCACTTTGTAGCAATATGTAGCTGAGTTTCCACTATAAATGTGTCCAACACTTGGTCTATATTCTACTGTCAAAAAACCAAACAATAAAAAAACGAGAAAAACCGCAAAGGTGTTTTACATTAAATAAGAAATTCAATTAAAATCACACATGAATAAGGTTATTCAACAGTAATGGCAGTGATGGATATAAACAGTTACATGAGATGTGTTCATAATTCAGCCATCAGAAGTCGGCATCTTATTCATGCACTGGAGCAACAAGCCCTTTACACTTGGAGAGCGGGTTCTTACGTGCCATTTTGGGGAAATGGTAGTCAGCAGTTTTGCAGAAGAGGTATGAATTCAACATGTTGGAATGACACACAACTTTTTATGAGCTGTGCGATGCTGTGGGAGCTCTGGTGGAGCCAACTGCACTATGTCCAAAAAAACCCAAAACTAACCATCATCCTCTTACCATTTCCTGTCGTCTCCTTCAATGTGACATCCGGCTGTGACTCCTGTGATGCAAAAGACGTTTTTCTATTGCAGTCTTGCAAAATACATTTGTTTCTATTCTGCTGAAAAAACACCTCATCTTAGCACAAAAAAACATGAGTTGTTACAGAATTAGCATGTTTCTATTTAGCCAATTTATTTTCCTAATATCAATTTGAGCAATTCTATGATGAATGGGAATGCAGCTTTTGTAAAGTATGGTTTTAGTGCATTAACTTTTCTACAAAGACATAAAACAATTTACATAAGAAAAAACTTAAGTCAGACTTTTTCCTTACTGATTGCCATTTGAGGATGGGGGGGCCAGAAGAAAGTATCTGCCCTGTGGTTGGAGCCTGGGCTGTGGATGACCTTTGGGGCCTCGGGGGACGGTCGGGGACAGGGCTGGCAAATCAGTTCTTCTGGGATCGGTCAGATTTTTGGTTATGGTGGCCGACCCTTTGGGTGGGGTGGTTGCCAGATTCTAGTGGGTGGAAGTGTGTGGTGGTGATCCGGAGAGGTGGCTTCAATTTGACAGTCGGCCTGGTGTGGTGTGTTGGAGATGGGGGGGGAGTGCTGTCTGGGAAGGGTGCACTGTCGGCATGTTTTGTTGCCGACAGTATATATAAAATATATTTTCATGAAAGGTACACACCGTAGCTTTGCCGTCTCATCTATCAGTAGCGCTGAAAACATGCCAGCCTTTTGGTGACATAAAAAGACTGTAAACACTTTTGTTCTGAGGTCTCTGCTGGCTGGTATTGGGTTATACCTCACACAAAAATGTCCTTTCAGTTCGTTTCCTGTCACATCAAGATGCAACCCTTTAAAGCTATCAAAAGATGCCATCATTGTCCTCCTATTCTCACATAAGACATTCTTGAACATTATTAACATGTTTCTTTTGCTTATTGTTTTTAGGCTTTTCATTAACTGCTTCGTTGAAAGGAGTAGAATGAACTAATTTAAAACCGGCACCACCCTGAAAAGCTGTGAAAGATGTCATTGTTATCCTCCTCTGACTGACGGGCAGGTTCCACTGGTACTTTATAATTAAGCAAAAAAATAAAAAATTATACATTATTTTATAATTAAACAAAATAACATTACACAATTGTACAACTTTATTCAAAGACAGAGGAAAAATATAATGATTTTTCACTTCAAAATCTGTTATTCTTTGTTCTGAAGTCCTACATCTTAAAATTACACATTACAAATTGATTTTTTTATGATGCTAATAAAACGTCTATAAATGACCAAAGCTGTCAATAGCATACAGCGGCTTGCAAAAGTATTTAGATCCTTTAAACATTTCCATATTTTGTCACGTTGCAACCAAAAACCTAAGTGTATTTCATTTTAATTTTAGCCAGGAACCACAGATGAGTGACGAGATGCGAACATGGCTGGCAAACAGTGACATAGCAATGACTGAGTGTGACAAGCATCTGGTGAAGAATGGAGGAGACAGGTAAGACTAAATACACAGGGGATAACAAGGGACAAATGGAAACAATCAAGAGCAAAACACGAACATTAATTATTAATCAAAAATGCACAGAAAACCCACATCCTCACACGTGAAGAACATGGGGCTGAACTCTTTTGCACAGCACACTTTTCAGTTCTAGATTTGTGAAAAAAAAAAAAAGTTTTGAATCATTGTTTCATTTTCTTTCGACTTCACAATTGTACACCACTTTGTGTCGGTCTTTCACATAAAATTCCAATGAAATAGATTCATGTTAGTGGTTGTAATGTGGATAAAATATGCAAAAGTTCAAAGGGTATGAATACTTTTGCAAGCCACTGTACCGTGACGTCGGCAGACTATATGTCTTTATCCCCATAGCTTTACACATCTATGGCTTGGAACAAATGTGGCCACGTAAGATTACAATGAATAATTTTCAATGCATGGAAAAATCACGTCTGTTTGACAACCGTAACTTTCGCAAATCTGTCGCATAAAAGAATTGACCTATGTGGATAAATTCAAGGTGTATGTCTAGTCTGTACTCTAACAATAAATCATGGTGTGTTTTATAAACTTTCCATTGTTCCATTGCCTCAACCAACTAGGCAAACCAGAATATACAACAATCACACGCTGCTGTAGAAAAACAACAGCAGTGATCGTAGTTCCCAGACAACACTTTCCTTACATAGAAGAGCAGCTGATCAGTCTTCAGGTGGCTTTGCTGTGATCTCTTTTCTGACAGCATGGAAGGTCAGTTTTGCTTTCTTTCTACCTGTTCCTGCTCCGAACATCATATTTTGCATTTGATTGATTAAACATTGATCAGCTTGGTTGGGTTAAATGTTAACTTTCATGGTCTTGACTGACAGATTTAAAACTGTTGGAGGCACAGTGAAGTCATTTGCCTGCAATCAGATGAATATGGTGCTACATTGTAATGTACTGGTTTGTAAGATTTTCACCGACTTATTTTTAGGCTTTAAATGCTTTTAAATTAATAAAAAAAAAAAAAAAATTTTTATTTTATCTTTGTATATGATTCCTGTTTGAAGTGTGTTTTTATGAGAGCATGATTTCACTTCTGTTTGTATTTATTTATTTTCATTTCCTGGTGTTGTAATCCCTTCAAAGTTGACTGGTTTCTTGTTTACCAGTAAGTGGAGATTTTCTTTTTATGTTCTGAATGTGTTTTTATGAGAAAGAATTTAACATTATATCCAAGTGTGAAAATGTGTGAAAATGTTTGCTGAGGATTTATCAGATCACAGTGTTTGGACTACTCCCATCCTTGAGTAACATCTCCCCATATCCCAAGAAAAACAAATAAAAGAATAAAATATTCACTTTTTCAAGTTTAAAAAACCTGCAACCATCTGTTTCTCAGTCCGAAGCCACTAGATTCATCAACTGACATTTTGTATTTCTTAAACTCAGATGTTTACTGAGCAGTGGGTTAATTGAAAAGCTTCAATTCAAATATGCTTTTCTTGTACTAATCTTTTCTTCCAGTGCCGGACTCAAAGAGAATTGTCCTTCTGGGGAAAACTGGATGTGGCAAAAGCAGCTTGGCTAACACCATATTTGGAGAGGAAGTCTTCAAGATCAGCCACTTTCCCATTTCCGAACTAAGTCTGTCTCGAGGGGAAACCAGACCTGTTAATGGCAGGAACCTCACTCTGATTGACAGTCCCGGTCTTTTTGACACCCGTGTCTCTGAAGTCAAGCTTAAGAAGGAGATCCTGAGCTGCATCACAGAGTGCGCTCCCGGACCTCACGCTTTCCTCATCGTTCTTAAAGTGGAGAAATTCACAAAGCAGGAGAAAGACGTCATCAGAGAAATATGCAGACACTTCTCTGAAGAGGCTCTGAAATTTGCTGCCATTGTCTTTACCCATGGAGACCAGCTCCCAGAGAGAAGGAGGATCGAGGACTTTGCCCAACACAACGAAGAACTGAAAGACCTGGTGAAAAACTGTGGAGGCAGGTGCCATGTTGTAGACAATAAATACTGGAACCGTAACACAGAAGATCAGTATAGGAACAATAAGCTCCAAGTGGCAGAAATACTGAGTACAGTTGATAAGATTAGTGAAGCAAATGATGGCAAGTTTTACACCAATGAGATGCTGCAAGCAGTGATAAACCAAATAGAGGTAGAGGAGGCAAAAATGAAGCCCTCATCAACTAACCAGTCATCAGAGGAAACTAGAAACAAAGCTAAAAGAAGCGTGTTTAATTCGTTAATGTGTCAGCTAGTGGGTAGTGCTACAGGGGCATTGTTGGGAGCATTCCTTGGTGTGACCAAGCACATTAAACTCTTACTTAGTGGGTCGGAACATTCAGATGTTCCACCACAAGCATCTGTCCAAAGCCCGACATTGCTTTCTGAGGCTGCTTTAAGTGAAGCCATGAGGGGAGTCAGGAAAGGATACAATGCAGGTGCAGAAGCAGAAACTGTACAGGAGGCATTTAGTGAAGCCATGAAAGCTGTTTGGCATCAGAGCCCCGAGACGGACTCAAGTGTAAAAAGAGAAAAAAAGGAGAAAGACTCAGAGAGTAAAGGAAAGGCAGAAACAGATTAATTTTATGTGTTTGAACATGTTAAATGTGATACAAGTATAAAACTTTCTGATTTTATCTCTCAACAGAATCATATATGCTGCAAAGTTGATTCATAATAGTAATAATAAAAATAATAATCTGTGAAAATCATGCATGGGAAAGTATATGTTGCAATGATATTAACTTTATTTGATTCTGTTTATCTAACGAGGTCCACTGATAAACTGTTGTAGACATACTTAGCCACCAGGGGGAGCTAAAGCGCATGAAAAGCCTGGGTGCAAAGAGAGAAAGAACAAGGCGTCTGAGCTACTTTGTTGTTTAGTGTTAATGGCCTGTAGATATAAAGGCATGCTAGAGAAAATAATTTGTTCTGTGTGGATTTTGAAAAACCAGACTAATCAAAGGGGAAAATGTTTCAAACAATAATCTAATATAAACAGCGCCTCCTAGAGTCTATAGATAATGGTTGCAGAAGTAGGTGCACTTTTACAGAATGTTACAACCTTTGCTTGTTTTATTATTTCTCTGAGTTAGAGAAGTTGTATTTACTATATCAAATATGAAATAAAATTTAAATCAAATAAAATTTGTCATATTCAGTTTTGGTCACAAAACACTTGTCTCCAGAGATACATCATGGACAGGTTGCCAGCATCGAAGCAATGGAGAGACAAAGAACAGACAGCAATGCATGCAATTGAATCAGAGGGGAAGCTAAAGAAACTAATTAATCTGAACTGTTGGAGGAAGTCGGAATCCCTAGACCAAGATTCAAACCAAACACGTTCTTGCTGCATAGCAACACTGCAAACACTGTGCAGCCCAAAATACAATATAATGTTCAGAATTAATATTCAGGGAAAAGAAGGACTGGAAATTCCTTGTTGTTGTTTTGTTTACAAAGCAAGGTGACAGTCTTTGTAGGACGACAGTGTCACAAAGTTTCTCTTCAGAGTTGTTCCGCTTATTTACCTTATCAGATGGGCCACAGCTTGGAAAGTTAATAAAACAGAATTTGCCTCGCGAGCTACAGCTCATGTGACTGTAACGTTGTTGACAATAAATACGGGAACTGTGGAGTGGAACAGTAGCATCACAATCCTGAGAATGGCTGATAAGTCCAACATTTAGCCTCATCTGTATTTCCTATTTCACAAAACACAGCACTGTGTAGTTTA